CCCCGCCCGGGGGGGCCAGCCACTGGCTTCACCATGCCCTTCAGGAACTCCATCATCCATGACCAATCCAGCGTGTAGTTGTCATGAACAAGCATGGTCTTGAAGAAGAAGGATTCCATGGACATAGTGATGGATAATGGATGATACATGCGTTGTTTATGTGAAGGGCAAACCAAGGCAGAAACGACCTCCCCCAGAATGAGAGTCACCATGTGGAGTGAGTCTGAGTAATAGTTGCGTGACACAGCAGCAGATTCAGCACTATTTTGGCATTTTCTTGCTTTACTTATCAACCGTTAATTATTCATAATTACAACTAGTACTATTATAGCCTGGACAAATTATTGTATATATATGCATGGACTCGCAGCATAACAATTCCCTGTTCTCACCATCTTAATGTTATTCTAAATTTATCATTCTTTTTTATAAACGGGAATTTTCAGTCTTACGTAATTATAAGTCGAAACTAAAAATACACGACAAATTTAGAACTACATATATGATACAATAATGTGCATGAGTTGTCTTGCACACTAATTTGTCATTGAAGGTTTTAAATTTTAGAAATAGAATTAATTGTATTTTGGGGACAATTTTAAATTATGTTATATATATATATATATATATATATATATATATATAAATTATGTAATGATCCGATATATATAGTGTAAAAAAAATGATTTATACCAATTTGACTTGAAAAAATAAAACCCCTTTATAAGGTTATAATAAAACTTTGTACACATATATAAATATACATTTAATATAAATATTAAAATATAAAGACCCTCATGTCGATCAAGCATCTACTATTCATAAACTACATTAGAGTAACATTAAACAAAAACATTGTCATCTCCAGCGTTACATCCAAAAGATCTTGCTCGCCTTCTTACCTAATCTAGCTTTGTTCTCATAATAATATGATCATTATAATTCAACAAGAAAGAAAATGCAAGGAAAAACTCGTAATCAAGAAAATAGTTGCTTAGGAATAATAATTAACTATATTAATCAACTTAATTAACAACACATATCATCAATTTAAGAGCCAACTACCAACATAGGACAACATATTAATACAACTTCTTAACTTCACAATATATTATTATTTAAACTTACACTAGTCAACATATCAGCTTGGTAAATAACAACACTACTTTATCATACAACACAATTGAACAACATAGTAATATAACAACACAATAATTCATAACTCAACAACTTAAACAACACTACAACATGACAACATAACATCATAATGTATCGTCACACATTTCAACTAAGAGATCTTTTATAACATAGGTGAATAATGTAAGTGGCTTAACCCTACCGAACCAACTTAACAACACGAGTTTTTGGACTTGCTAGATCAACATAAAATTGGGATATTAATCCACAATACAATATGATTCCTCGGATTTCGCTAACTAGACTAGGAAAGTCTGGTACTCATCATCAAAAATAATAACTTAGGTATGAGTTCTCCACGACATTAACATGCATTAACCAAGCCACTTATGGGTACAACTGCTAATTATCCCCACGATACCACACACATTTTCATACTTTGCTCAGATTGGCCGCTTCAACACCAATATGGATCGACCTAATCCCTAAACGATATCAACTAAGGACTTATAAGATACCTAACACTTCATTTCAAGAGAAAACCATAATCACGAAAGGTTTTTCAATAGTTGGACTCTCAAAGTAGCACAATACATAATCACACAATGAGATATTTCAACTTTTTAAAATATTTCTTCTCTAGTTCTAAGTTCACAACACAATACAACTACATGCATCATACATCTCATCAATGAATTTCAAGACTACAAGATAATTCATGCATATTCCAACCCCATACTACACAACAACATACTTTTCATACATTTACAACACAACATTAAACATGTTACTCATTTTCATTCAATATACTTAAGCCTGATGTGATCAACTTGCGCTTGGCACCACTCACATTATGCTTGGCATTGGTGAGCCAAAGAGCTTCAGGCTCACTCACACCTAATGCCAACCTCACTACTACAAAAACACTGTTCTACATCGGTTCTGGAAGCTAATTTACATCGGTCATAAAACTGATGTAGAACAAACCGATGTAGATTTGCGTTCCAATCTACATCGGTTGTCAGAAAACCGATGTAGATGTAGATGTGAATTTAAAAAAAAATTAATTATTTTTTTAGACCACCGTTACCACCACCACCACCAAACCCCACCGCCACCACCACGACCAAACCCCACCACCACCACCACGACCAAACCCCACCACCACCCCCACGACCAAACCCCACCGCCACCACCACGACCACCGTTACCACCACCACCACCACCGAACTTCCCTCCTTCAACACCGCAATCCCTAGCCAAATGCCCAACCTCCCCGCACCGAAAACAACCCCCACCACTGCCCGCTCCGCCGCCGCTGCCTCCCTTCGCGGTGGCGCAATCCCTCGCCATGTGTCCAAATCTGCCACACCTCAAGCAAGATCCGCTCGCTCCACCACCTCCGCGGCCGCCGCCAACGTTCCCTCCGTGCACGCAATCCCTCGCGAGGTGACTAAACCCCACCACCCCCACGACCAAACCCCACCGCCACCACCACCACCGAACCTCCCTCCTTCAACACTACAATCCCTAGCCAAATGCCCAACCTCCCTGCACCGAAAACAACCCCCACCACCGCCCGCTCCGCCGCCGCTGCCTCCCTTCGCGGTGGCGCAATCCCTCTCCATGTGTCCAAATCCGCCACACCTCAAGCAAGATCCGCTCGCTCCACCACCTCCGCCGCCGCCGCCAGCGTTCCCTCCGCGCACGCAATCCCTCGCGAGGTGACCAAACCCGCCTCTTCAAGGAATCTTCAAAGAATGGACTGACGAGGGAACTCTCCGTTGAAGATGCTAAGTTTGGGAGATGAATATTGAGGTTGTGGGGTTTTGAGTTTGAGTGATGTCGAGGTTCAGTGTTGCGGGAGAATGTACAAGTTCAACGTGAATACTACATCCTTTAATTAGAAACCGACGTAGAATATTGAACATTTACATCGGTCGCCTTTAAAACCGATGTAAATATCCCAACCTTTTACATTTAATTACGAAAGTGCCACCGCATTTATTTTTTACATCGGTTTTCATATAACCGATGTAAAATTGCCGACGTAGAATAATAATTTTCTAGTAGTGCCTCTTGCACTCGACGAAAATGATACAAAGAACCTCTATGGAAGCCACCTCTAACACTACTAAACTTGTGTTTAGTGTCACCAAAGCATAGAGCTTCTACCTTACCCATGTTTGACGCTACTTAACTAGCGTCCAATGTTATCAAGGTAGAAAGCTCCTAATAAAAGCATGCCTGAATTTCCTCTCCCACACTCAACGTAACCAAGTCAAAGGACTTCTAACTGACTCATATATAGTGCTACTTATCGCATGCTCGCCGATGAGGCAAAGAGACACTAATTTGATCACACTCGACACCATGAAGTTGTGCTCAACGTGAAAAGTGATTTTTACACTCTGTTGAATCATGATTTGGAGAAATTAACCTAAAACTCCTTCCAATCCAACATAAAACTCACAAAACAACACTTATACATTATAAGCAACTAAAATGCTACAAAATTTCAACATGTAACCAACAAGAATTCATAATAATCAGTTTTCTTCTCCTTCTATCAATAACAACAAACACTAAGTAACAAGGTCCTTCATCTCTCAATTCAACAATACGACCAAGTATAGATAAATTCAAACAACAGTTAGTACATATAACACAACAATAATTGATCTACAAGTTTTCCTTACCTTAAATCACCAAGGAAAGAGGAAGAAGAAGGAAGAATGATGAAGAACATAATCTTTCGAACTTTCTTTGCATGACAACCCTGACTCTTGATGCTCCACTTTAAAGCTTTGAATCACTGCTCAACAACACAATCTAAGCTTTAGTGGAAAGGTTTGAGCAATCTACATATGAAGTCAAAAGAAAGAACGGTTTCCTTTGGAAACCTATACCTTCGCCTAAACTCGTCTTAAGAAAATTTATACATTTTCCTAAACTCATCAAATAATGACCTCAACTTACAACAACTCATAATCAACTAAATTCATAAGAATTCTTTAATTCTTAAAGTTTTAAAATATTAAAACAATAAATCATATAAATCATTTATTTAATAAGATTAAATAAACAATCATACAATTTACATAATTACATTTTAAATATGCATGTATTATTTTAAAGAATAAAATTTAATTTTCAATAATTATAAATTAATAATATATATGTTTTTATTTCATAGATGTTTTACTTATAATGGTGTTATTTATTTTAAAATATATCTCAATTTAAATTTTATATTTTGTATTATACAATATCTATCTATTTATTTATATCTTTTTATATAAATAATATAATCATATATTAAGATTGAAATATTATATCGGAGAACAGTTAATAACACATTTTAAAATATTTTATTATTATTAATTAATATTATTAAATTATGAGTTGAGTTCATTAAATAAAAAGTAGAATCCATTAAAATTTACGTTTTTTTATATAAATTACAATAAAATTGCAAATATATTAAAAATGTGTCAAAAAAATATTATCAATATAATTCATTATGTTGGACTGGTTGGTTTTGTCTCATTATTTAGTCTCAATCAAGAGTTTACTTAATAAAGCTATCAAAATTTTAAGTTGACTAAAAATGAAGATAATTTTTTTCTAACATGTTGTGCTCACCTGTTGCCATAACACATTCCCAAGCATTTCTAAATTTGAACACCACATATATATTATTTTTTACACATTCCTTAGTTAAGAAAATAAGTTGAAAAATAACCTAATATGTCAAAAAGTGATATGACAAAAGCTTTTGGGAGAGTATTCAGAACTTTTTCGCGTGAAAAGAAGAGAGAACAAAGTTACAATATTTAAATTTGAATGATATCACTAACTAAATTTATTAAAAGGTTGTTTTAGATTAATAAATATTTTCTACATTTTTCAAATAATATGTTTAATATAAATTTAAAATTTTTATTTTCTTATTTTTTATAATGTAATTTTTCAAATATTAATTAATCATAAATCATAATATTACCTGAACGAAGTTATTATAAAAGTGAATAATTTTTTTACATGTTATTCGTGATTGAATAAATTTTTTTTTTGCCAACTTTGTTATACTGTTAATTGTATATATTATTTGTTTACCAAAAAAAATGTATATATTATTTACTATTTTTCTTAGTTTTCAAATAAAAGTTATCTTTCTTTTTCTTTTGAAATCTAAATTTCAAAAGAAAAGAATAATCGGTTATGTGAAACAAACGCACGAACGACCGAGGATAACGATGGTAGTTGGACCCTGTCCTGTTGTTCGAAATCGGTCTGGAACGGCGCATGTTAGTGAAAAGGTTCGATAATTTTTTATTTTTTATTTTTTAACATTGTTAAGGAATTATAAATTGTATAAAAATAATTGTTATATAAACCTAATAAATTTACTGTAACTTCATTAATAATATTTAAATGACTTGAATTTGATTTTAGTTTGGAATTTCAATAAAAAAAATATTTTTATTTTTCAAAAGTTTAGATTTTTTTATTATTATATAATCATTTTTAATTACTTATTTGTTTAAGTGATTACCTAAAATATTATTTACTTCTGTTTATAATATTATGTTAGTGTGTAATCCATCTATTTATTTTTATAACTCTTTAAAATAAATATTATTTATTTATCTTAAAATCATCAATAGGATTAAAATATTAATTTTAGATTTTAGAGAGATAAAAATAAAAAAAATATTTTATAAAGATTGAAATTAATTTTTTTTATAAACTAACAAATATTTTATAAGGATTAAAAATAATATTTTTAATATTTAAAAAGATGAAATTATTGTTTTTATAAAGAGCAAAACTAAAACTTACTTATTTTATAAAATTTAAGAACATATTTAAATCTATTAAAATTATTATTTTTATTTTAATTAAGAAGGCAACGAGTTTTATAGTTGACTGCAATATCACTCACTAGGATCATGCAGGAGAATTTAGATAATTAACACAAAAGAAGCGTCAGGAATATTCTCTAACATAATTTAGAACTTAAACTTTATAATTAGTTAAAGTTTATTAAATAAATACAAAATTGGTAAATCTTACACTCTATTTAATACCTTCAATAACTTTTAGCTAATAAAAAAGCTATTAACGGTATTGTATTAAAGAATATGGTCCTAACAACATTCCTAAACATAAAGTGTCATATTAAATTAAATTAAAAACTAGTTGATACCATTCTAAAGAGAGAAAATAACAGTTTATGGCGATATTCGTGGGTGTATGACATGATGTTTTGATTATAACTTATAAGAGATGTGTCCACGTTCATAGTTATCCGCGTGGCTTAGGTACAGTACGGGCACATGTGATGTCATCGTCATCTCATGTGGTACTTCTTCTTTACCATAATAAAGAAAGAAAGGTATCGTATATTTGTATTTTGTACCAAAACAAAATGTGAGTGAGAGATCACACTATTATTTTATTCCTATTAAAAAATATAAAGCAATTTTAGCAATACGTCACTCTTGACATCAGTTTCAATTTTTAATTCTTAATTTGTTACTACTTTCATTCATTCTTTTCTTTCCTTCAGAACCTTTCTCCTCCTATCATTATTGTAGTAGCTCACAGAGATTTTGGTATATCTGTTTGGATCGATTTTGAGACATAAAATAATCTAATCTAAATATTAAAACAATATGCGGTTTCATTCGTTTGCTTTAGTTAGATTGTTTTCTTAAATATAATTCAATTCAATCCAAATTCAATAAGATACAATTTAAATTGAATTAGATGATTTGATTTTTATCTATAATCTTTGCCGACATTTTAATTTCCTATTATAAGATGTTTAACTCTAGATATTAGACATTATTTTTAAAACATTATTTTCTTTTTATTTGACAACAAACGATACAACAATCTTAGGTGTTCCTATGTGTATAACGTTAGACAAGCAAAATGATAGATTATTTTTTACTTGACAGCAAAAAAAAATACTAACAAAAGTTTAGATGGATAAAGAACGTTTAGGGTTTAGGGTTTAGAGTTTAAGATTTAAATAAAATAGTTTAAATTCGGCTTTCAACAATTTTTGACTTTTATTTATTTATTATTTTGTATGCTTTTAAAAAAAAAATGATTGGATTAGATTTGAACACCCTTAGTAGCTTGTGGTCAAAGTACTATCTTGTTCCAAGGCTTCTCGTTTTTGACTTAAGAAAGTATCCATCTCTTCCCCCTACACAAGATCCGTGTAAGTTTTCCCGACTTGCTGAAGTCCGAGAAATGCAACAATGTAACTATTGAATGCCTTTTATTGTGGGTATATGTTATCTCACTTTTACATTGTTATTGTTCTGATAATAATTTTATTTTACTTCAAAAATATTCTTTAAGAGTTTGTTTGTGTTCCATTTGATGAAGACAATTCTCATTCTGGGAATAGAGGTAAGTTTGTTAGCTATATGTATCACTTGATTTTTTTTTTCCTAGGGTTTAGTGATAAAAGATTTTGATCTTTGTTTGTGGTGGTTGTATTAATTGTTGGATTATTTATTTATTTTTTACTTTATTTAGAAGCACTTGATATAAGCTTGATTTGATTTTAAAAAGCGTTTAAATGTATAAGACAAAGGTGTGAAATTTATGAATTGAAAATAAATTTCGAAGGAAAAAATATTTGTTTGTGTGCAAAAGAAAAAAAAATGATTTGATTCAAAGTTATCAAGATGTTGTGTTATATCATGTGGATAACAATTAATATAGACTTTGCTATGATTGTCATGAATAACATAATTCAGATCTTGAGTTATGATTTGCACGGTGCACCAAAAGCAAAACAACCCTTCACTAAAAGAGAATTAGTTGTTAATGAAATCGAAATTTATTTTTTGTGGCTGTTATTTAATAGCAATAACTCAATTGCCTGTATCTCTTGGTTGGGCCAAAACTTTAATGGCTAAAGAATAAGTTTAATATATTTGTAGACTCTATTTTTTTATTTATAGAATTTTAATAAGGTTCTTAAACTTTTAAAAAAAATATAATTAAATCTTTAATCTTTTTACAATTTATAATTAAACAGACAACCTTTATTAGCCTTCTCGCATTAGTCCCAATTCAATGCACGCTCACCAAATGCAGACTTATACTCATGATTCATGAATGTATGATCATACTATCCTATACATCATCAACATATAAATAATCCAACATCACTACAATTATTTTGATTCTTGATACTGATTGAATCGTTTTGATATATTGATCCTGTAGTTCTGGATATCGAATAAATTCTTATTGTCAGTTGATCATATCATACATTTATTTCATAATTTTCTGGTCTTTGCATTTAGAGTAAGTCGTCATTCATTGAATTTGCTTTAACATATTCATTTGAGGTTAGTTGTATTAGAATAGGTATTAATTGAAAATTATTATCAGTACCGAGACAAATTGTTTTAAAGTTCTTCAAAGAGGTCTTGAAAATGATTTTTTAAAATATTTGAACTAGTAAACTGATATCCTTAATTTCTCTTCTTTTTATTTTATTTTATTTTCCTCCAGCTTAATACAATGTAAGAATTTAGAAAGAAAAAAAGGGGAAAGAAAGTCCATTACACAACATGAAAAAGAACCCAGTGTTCAAGGTTGGCTAGGCATTCAACACAGTAGCTAACCTGTCTTGTACAGATAACAAATATATCTATACACTATTCGGGCTTTGATGTAATGGCTAAAAATAAAAGTCTACAATGACTCCAGAAACATCGTTTTGTTTTGGCTTAAATAGTTAATTTAGAAAATCCTCTATATTAGAAAAAGGAAGTGATTTACTCATATTACTCGAGAACACTAAATACAAGCAAACTACACTTGGAGATAAAATGAAGGCAAACCTTGATCATTTGGTTTCACATTACCTTCCGAAATAAAGTTTTGTTACAACACATAATTAACTTGATTTATTCGTGCAAGAGAAATGCCTTTGCAACACGCGTCAATCTCAATTTTCTACTTGTTAATGGCAGGAAATATTTGCTTTGCTACTTGCCTTATTCTCTGGTGCTTATCGTTATAAGACCCACCCTGCATGATGCAGAGATATCTAAGCGAAACTTCTGTCCAGAATTCAGCATTTGTTCATATCTTCCAACTATATTTTCACAGAATAGAGTAACATAGCAAATCCTATTGATGCTATTATAGTAATGTAATTCAGCAGGTAAAACATAATTATCAATTATCATTACTTTACCCTCCTAATACCATTGCCGATCTATCTCCTAAACTAGTGACCGATCTTGTTCTTAATCCCGTGACCGATCGATAATGCATTATAGATCGGATGCCAACAGACATGTCGTGCATGCAATAATGATTCGCCTAAGGTACCAGATAGGATGTACCCTCATAGGCTTACAGGCCCATGGCCGATTTATTTGAAACCAGTTATCTTCAATAACTATTGACTCATCATAAATCTAGGTTACAAGATAAAATATGTATCGTTAAAAAAGTCAATCTAAACAAACCAAGGGATACACAAAATAATGATAAGCAGTTATAAAAGATATAAGATAATTGGACTAAAAAATAAAGACAGACCCAAAGATCCAAATTAATAAGATCGAAAGATATCACCCACTAGTATATAATGCTATGACCAAGAAAGAAGAGAGAGGTTTACAACTCGAGAAACATTAATAGAGTGAGAAAAACATTTTGAGTGCTGCGGTGACGAGCCAAATCTTGTGGCTGGAACAACTATTATAACAAACTTTGGAATTTTCCAAGCAACCAATTCCCTAACTACAAAACAGACAATCCCCAATGCTATAACAAAACTTTTAATTGTCATCAGCATCAATTTCCTATTAGCTCTCTCATCTGAGCATTTTCTCAGAGTGCCAGTGCTGGTTTACATGCTATGTAAATGATATCTACAATCACTAAATGTTCACCTAAGGCCTCTTGCTATGGAACTATGGTCTACTTTCCTTTTGTTGCCCTTCTTTTGACCTGTGGATTTTGTGAATCAGCCGCACTTTTAACAGATTTCTTGCCATTCCTGACAATCTTCTGAGTCAATGCCTTAAGTGAAATTGTAACATCCAAAGGAAGAAGCACCTCTTCCAACTCATGCCAATCAAGATCTTCTGAGTCACCATCTTCATAGTGAACCCTGTACCACCCGGAATCTTTGTCGAACTCAGTTACTATACCTGAGTAATATCTTCCCATAAACCACTTCCGGACTTCCCTCCCCTCAAACCATTCACCCAAACCTGAAGGCACATGTGTTTCAACTTTGCATGAAGCATTATGGGGAGCAACAGTGCAGTCACTGGGGATTATGTCAGGCACCCCATTAATTACAATAGCAGGTTCTCCAGGTAACTCATGAATCCCTGCTGCTGAAGCATTTGACTCCTGCTTAATTCCTTTGTCTTCCATTTCAAAAATTCTTTCCGGAAAACCTACAGAAAAACATTAAACAATAAAATTATATAATATATATGAAATGATAACCTTGTGTCTACACTCCATAGCTTAGGGAAGGAGATTGTGGCTAAGACCACGACTTAACAAAATTACTGTTTGACAAAATTTACCAAAGAACTAAGCAGATCACATAAAACATTTCAGTTCCTGCAAAACAACAAGCACGAGTACAACATAGGATACAAATACAGATATGTTAACCACCGGAATATGGTAAATTCTAAAAACATACGAGATGACGTGAACATAATACAACATACACAATTAATCTAAAATTAACATAAAATAAAAACATAAATCACAAGAGAATTCATGTTTAAAAATGAGTATGCATCATTGTATAAAAAATCACTAAGGGGTCCTGAACCACATTATTCCTGATCAATTTCTTCATGACATATAAGTAAATGTTATTAAATTTCTTTCAATTTGTATTGGTATAAATCAAGGTTTTACACTGCAGTCGCAACTGTTTGCAATTTTGTTGCCTGGCTGCAATTGTGGAGACCTCAAAAACCTTGAGAATTCGACGGGCAAAATCAGCAGGCTGTTTTTCAAAACCTTGGTATAAATGTTGAAAAATAAAAAATAAAAAAATTATAAAAGTAAATCTAAAAGTGTTTGAAAAATCCGTGCATCTGACATGTTAGAAGTGTATATATGCTTCTTAGCAGCAAAATTGCCGTGAATTGTTTTATTCCAGAGCCAGGACAGAGTATTGCAACATGTTACTTCCAACTTCAAATATCTTAATGTAAAAAAAAAAATCATATGAATTACAGAACCTAAAATGGATGCAAATCTAGCAAATCATCAAATTGTTTTGATTTCAGTTCACTAGATAGCCTCGACCTCGTTAAATCGCGTTTAGATTCTATGTCATATTATGTACTAAATTTGTGTGCCGTGAATGAATTAAAGGGAAAAGAACGCACCGTATCGCAAAATATTGATTTCTTTTGGTTGAGTCAGTGCCCGAGACGAACGTTCTGCTGCATCACGTTTTGATTCAATGCACGCCCTGCTGCCTATGGATAGTGTAACGATTCAAAGGCTGAAACTTTGAAAACCCTAACAAGAAGTTGGTGATAGGAGAAGCCAATACATATTCTATTTGCCAGGATTAAAACGCACGCTTTCACTCAATTTATTTATTTTTATTATAATTTAAAATAATTTTTAAT